TTATTTTTTTTTAAAAAAGTTAAAAAAAAAAAAAAAAAAAAAAAAAAAAAAAAAAAATTTAAAATGATCACACAATTGGCAATTGGTTAAAGCTCAAAGTTTGGCACAAAACTCAATTATAACCTTAGACGCAATGCCAATGAGTCGTAAAGCTATCATGACCTCCAACAAATTAATTTTATGAGAGGTTTTTGTTATTAATAATTATAGCCAAGTCATTGCCAGTCCTTAAAAATCGTTGAAATTAAATGAATGGGGATTTTTCACAGCTTTATTAATGGCACGTGTATTCAAGTTTTCTTTAATAACATCATTATTTAGTAGCCTAATATTTATATTACTAACTAACTTACGCTTTTTTGACATTTGTTGACATTTATTGAGAATTCTGACTTTGGTTTGAAGAGTCAGCATCTTTGACTCCCATATTTTCTTTAATACGATAGCACAAATGCTGACCTAGCCTTTCAGATTCTAGATCTGACATAGGCTTCGGACCCACCATTTATGGCTTTTAAGTACCGTATAGGGGGAGTTCCATTCGATGGACAATAATACAATGATTCGTAGTTGTAAAATTTGATGTGTGCATGATCTGTTTCGGAGGAAACCAGACTGTTGATCTTGTAGCTGCGGGTCTACCTGGTCCTTCATTCTATTCAAAATAATTGTGTTAAAGACCTTTCCTGGTACAGACAGCCGTGTGATTCCTCTACAGACAACCATGTGATTCCTCTACAGACAGAAGTGTGATTCCTCTACAGACAGCCGTGTGATTCCTCTACAGACAGCCGTGTGATTCCTCTACAGACAGCAGTGTGATTCCTCTACAGACAGCCGTGTGATTCCTCTACAGACAGCAGGGTGATTCCTCTGTGATTTGAAAAGTTGCTGATATCTCAATTGTTTGCTATCTTGACGAGGCATCCTTCTTTCCAACCTTTTGAAACTCTCTCTTCTTCCCCCCATATCTTTTCAAACAGAGGGTGCAGCATGTTGACCAGTGGATCTATGCCTACTCTCATCATCTCTGTTGTGATGTTATCCGGTCCCGATGCTTTCCCTATTTTGAGGTGCTAGGTAACCAGGAATATTTCTTCATTGTTTGGGGCACCCCCTTCTATCAATTTGTATATCTGGTTGTTGGTTGTGTATAATAATAATAATAAAGTTTATTTGAAAAACACACTTCATCCCCAAAAGCTCGAAGCGCGGTACAAAGTCAACCCTATTAAAAAGAGAAATAAAAACAATCTAAAATTTACCACATTTAAAAAACAGACGCAACACTATAAAGCTACATACGAGCATATCAAGTCAAAGTCTTTCATCCCGTTTCAACCATAAGCAACACGGGCCAATATACATTAACTGGAAACAGATGGTGGATCTGGTGTGGCTGTGGGTGGAGGTGTGTTTAGTCATTCCTTAGGTATTCCACCCAACTTCTTCTTCTTCTATATCTTAAGGGCCCACGATCAATTTATTGATCATTTTGGCTCCTATAACAACTTCTTTGTTGTTGTTTTTTCGTTCCGTTATTGATCCACAATATTTGTCTTTAGCCGGCCTTTCTGGCTTCTTGCATCGTCCCGAAGGCTTTCTTTTTTTATGTCATAGAGCTCTTTCATGGTCCCCCTTTCTGACTGCTTCTTCTGCTGTTGACGCTAAACGATCAATGTAAGAATTTTTTATACTTTTTGATGTCGTTCTTTACCCTTCGATCTTCTTCTTTATATTTCATTGGTGCTTTTGTTTTCTCTGCGCTGCTGTGGTTGTTGTTAACTGCACACTCCATTTATTTTCTCTCGTTATTTTAATTTTTTTTTTTTTTGGGCCATGTTTTGAGTGAGAGGCAATCTTTGTGTTTTTGCTTCACCGGTCCTAATACATCGCTACATGTGTATGTTACATACATCTTTATGTTTTGTCTTTATGTTCTATCTGGTCATCATCTGTTTGGTCGTTTCAGTATCTGGAACTTATTTCTCAAGGTTTTATTTTATCAGCTAGCTCTTCCCAGTTTTTATTCAGTTTTAGCTTGAGTCTCGCCCAAACAAGATGGAGATCAGATGCTAATACATCTTGTCTAGACCTTATAAATTTTTGGCTAATAAATATTTTACAAGCAGTTTGGCTTTTTGTTCTGTTATCATGGGAAACTCAAGTTATCTAGTGGATATTCTTATGTTGGGATTTGCTGCTCTCCCCCCCCCATGGGAAACTCCAGTTATCTAGTGGATATTGTTATGTTGGGATTTGCTGCTCTCCCCCCCCCCCAACCAACAAAATTATAAAAAATGAGCTCATTTGCCGCGCAGAAGTCTGCAAGTCGTTTGCCGTTTTCATTTCTCTTTCCTGCGTATTCTCTGGTTTTTTTTCCTCCACTTTTAGCATTTCCCATTATGATATTTAGATCTTTACTAGAAAAAATGTCTAGTTTAGCCTGTAGTCTATTGTAAAAAGCTTCTTTTCAATCTTCCTTCCTATCGTTGGTGGGTACATAGCACAGTATTACATTTATATTTATTTTCTTCTTCTTGGTTCAGAGAGTTGCTCTAATAATTCTTGGAAAATGAGCTTCTTATCCTATCAATGCCTCATGGGCTTTCCCTCCTATCCATGCCTCATGGGCTTCCCATCATATCAATGCCTAATGGGCTTCCCATCCTATCAATGCCTCATGGGCTTCCCATCCTATAAATGCCTCGTGGGCTTCCCATCCTATAAATGCCTCGTGGGCTTCCCATCCTATCAAAGCCTCATGGGCCTCCCATCTTATCAGT